TTACTTTTAAAAGTAACTTTCCCCAACACTGTTTATATTTATTATCCGCAATGTCTGCATTCATACCATTCAACCAACAGGTTAGCTTTACGTTTCCATTATTTCAGCCCGAGCCGCTAGAGGGCAGCATCACTGCTGTTCGCCATTAAAACAGCAAAAACAACGTGACGCGATTAGTCTTTTAGACTGACCACTTCCGCCCTGTTCATTCAACGCGTGCTTCTCTGCGCAGCTGTGTTAATCAGGTCAGTAATGAGCAGCGTTATGTGTTTATGTGAAATGTACATAATTCAGGATGATTGGGTTGTATACAGTATACTCGTCGGGTGTGCTGTAAGCTAGTGGCTCCGCGCGCTGTGTTTGTTGTGATGTGATTGTGAGATGTGTGCGCATGTAAGGCTGGAGTGATGCGCTCACTCTGATTGTGCACCGTCAGGATTTCTCTTTATTCTCCATCACTGCGACGTGTGTGAGGGACAGAGACAGAGATACAGACGGAGAAGCCTGGAATATTCCTCAAACCGACGACAAATGAGTTTTTACGACAACCTCCGACAGTGTTTTCCATCTCATGCTCCCTGACAGGCGCATCGGCAGTCTGTTACTCCACAGCTCTGAAAACAAGAGAGCGCAGTTTCACAGCACATTGTGTGCTGCTGGTGTAGTTACAATTAAAATTGTAGGGAGTCCATACTGTAATATAACAAAATATAATTGCCAGGCCTGGTAAGGTCGCGCGTGTGTGTGTGTGCGTGCGTGTGCGTGTGCGTGGGTCAAAGACGAGACGTGCCATTTTGTTGTCCACAAAAATTATTTTATATACATAACGCACATTAAATGCAAATAAAGTGTCTACTTTAATGTTTCAAATAAATGTGAAAATATGGGTGAAATAATGTTCCACCATTATTCAGCCGAACATATATTTATGTAATAATCAAAATTCAAAGTCCACAGCACAAATGTAACAGTAATGGCACAAAGGAACAATATTTTTTAAATCACTTGCCAGCTGATTGATGATAAAAACATTGATAGCCAGTGAGAATCCATCCTGCTTTAAAGAGCTTGAGTGGCAGACGACAAAACTTCAAGAAATGCTGTAATAAACAATGTTATCATGCATTGATGTGGACGCTAATATCTTTATCGGTCTTCGTGTGAACAAGATATAGTGTATAGAATTTTTTTCTAGGTGGATGTTAAAGCATTTGGATAACAAAGGACTTCTTTGTTTCAGAAGTCAGTATGAATCAAGAGAAACTGGCTAAACTTCAAGCCCAGGTCCGGATAGGGGGCAAGGTAAGAAATATTATCAATGAACCCTGATCAATTATTATTTTGGAAAAAAAAATTCTTTCGTTGCTCAGTTTTGCTTCGTTTTCTACAGGGAACAGCACGCAGGAAGAAGAAGGTGGTGCACAGAACAGCAACGGCTGATGACAAGAAACTCCAGAGTTCATTAAAGAAGCTTGCGGTCAATAACATAGCTGGCATTGAAGAGGTAGATCAGTAGCTCTCCAGTCTTTCTTCACTGATTTCCTTCTGTCCTGTTCAGCGAGCATTGAGAATTCGATCTTGTTTTACAGGTGAATATGATTAAAGATGATGGCACGGTCATTCACTTCAATAACCCCAAAGTGCAGGCGTCTTTGTCTGCTAATACGTTCGCCATCACAGGCCACGCAGAGACCAAACAGCTTACGGAAATGCTCCCGGGAATCCTCAGTCAGCTCGGCGCTGACAGTCTCACAAGTCTGCGCAAACTCGCCGAGCAGTTTCCCAGACAGGGTGAGTAAAGAGGCGCTTTTGAAATAGGGGTGAATTTAGAGTTTAGTGTAGATGCTGACGTTGCTGTTTTGTTACTTTTCAAGTTCTCGACAACAAAGCTCCGAAAGCAGAAGATATCGATGAAGAAGATGATGATGTCCCAGGTATGAAGGTTTTTCTTTCGCGCGAGCTGTAAATTGCAAGATGCAGATTTAAGTCATTTTATTCTCTCTTCACAGATCTTGTAGAGAACTTCGACGAGGCATCAAAGAACGAGGCAAACTGAACGTTGGGCCTTCAGTAACTGCTGTTCAGGGCAAAGTCTCCTGCAGGATTTTTAAATTAGTGACAGACATATCATTTCAACACTATTAGTGAAACCAGAGACTATTATATTATAAATTGGCTGTTTCAGATCCATGCCTGTCCTTTCTCCTGCATTTATACAGAAGGATGGATGGTTACATGAATGCTTAACAGTTATAAATCTTACCCACATTGCTAGTTGAAATGCTATAAATGCTATAAAAATTAGTCTTATTTTTTTTTCTGTTGATTAAATAAAAAATAAAGCTCATAAAACTTTTCTATGTGGTGTTTTGCTTTTCCTGTAGATGCTTGAAGAGATTTGTCTGGGGTCTGTAGTGTCATTAAGCGTATTATAAGAGTAAAATGTGTTTTCCCTTTGAAATGTTTAAAATGCTAACTAAGTTACACCAAAACACTATCGATCATTTTTACATTGATTTTTTTTCCCTTTTTTATGTTTACAGTAAAATAGCCGCATAGAAACTGCATGTTTATGTTAAATATGTTAGCAAAGTCATAAATAAAGATGGTTAATGATCATTAAATCGGCAAATGCCGATATTCACGCAGATGCTGCAAATGCAAACGTGGCGTGTCGAATTTGTTTGACCAACTTGAACTCAATGCGAAATCTGCATGCAGAAATCTTTCCCCTCAAGAAACTACCATTTGCATGAATTCCTATTGAAATCACTTGATTTTGCCCACGAAAATGAGCTGATTGACAGTAAACGTGACCGCACCTTAACCATAGCCTTTATTATTTGAATATGATCAAAAACATATTACCTTACTTTTCATTTATTTATTTAACCCATGACCACTGTTTGCAAACTGGCTATATTTTTATTTCTTAAGTTTCAATAATCATAACATTTACAGTGCGTTAATGCGAACACACTTTGGTTGATTAAAGGCGTTTATCTACAATAATGAGAACAGTCATCTTATATACTCAAGCAATAAAAATACCATGAAAACGATGTGTTATATAACACTCTGGTACTGTTCATTTGTTGTTCGCAGTCAAAAGTGACCGAACACCTGAAATCTAAAATTAATGTAATATATTTTTGTTCAATAATATTTTTTATTTGTATTTTGAGATAATGGTACTAATTAATATTTATGCAATAATTATAATTTTTTTTTCCCAATTGAAAATAATACAAACAAATTCTAATAGGCTATGTTTATATTAATTTTCAATTGTGGCAGTATTTCATGTTAAAATGGAGACAATGCCTTTAAAATCCCATTTTTGAAGGCAGATTAGTTCCATTTGGTGGGAGTAAAAAAAAGAAAAACATCTGGAATTCCATGGTTTAGCCACTTGATTCCTATAGAGCTCTATATAAAAGGCTTATAAATATGCTTTCAGACATAAATACTTATTTTTATTAATTTGTGGATTTGGATATATATTTAGACATTCTCAAAGACAACTTTTTGTAAAGGTTTATTTATTTTGTATTATTTTTTTTTGGTTGAAATGTTGGTTTGAAATGTCAGTTTTTGCATTAATTTTACTACAGTCAAACCTGAACACAAAGAAAGGCATTTTGTTACACATAAAATTCAACAAAAATGTTACAAAAATGAATTTTGTGAGAGGTCAATCAGTCTGATTTCTACCACTTATTTGAGTCTTCTGCCTCAATTTTGCCATATTTTTACAGCCACACCAGTTCATTTGTGTGTGTATAATAGTGTGTTTGTGTGTGTAAGTGAGTGATATTTTAGAGTGTCACCCCTTCAATGCACTTTTTGTCTGCATCGAATGATTTGTAGATTGAACACACAAAAAATTCTCTGTATTTTCGCGTATTTCCCATTCATTTCCAATGGCGGTCATTTTTGACCACGAACGACACAAGTGTGACTATTTTTTACGACCATTTAGCTTTTTCGAATCAAGTCCACGATTTTTTTGTGGTCACATAGTGACTTCCATAGTCATCGAGTTTCGTACCATTCCGATGAAGTAGCGATTTTTATCATTTCAAACCATTTTTTTCCTGACTAAAATGACCGAACAACACCAGAGGGTTAATAATGTGAGATAAAGAGGAGACCAAAGAGAGGATTAAACTCGTTCTCAGCGCCGTGACATTGCGTCCCTCTGACTTCTCAAGTGATTGCGACGCCCCTGAGAACGCGTTCATCTCGAGCGACGCCCCTGAGAACGCGTTCATCTCGAGCACGCGACGCCCCTTGAGAACGCGTTCATCTCGAGCGACGCCGCTGAGAACGCGTTCATCTCGAGCACGCGACGCCCCTTGAGAACGCGTTCATCTCGAGCGCCGCTGCGCAGCCTCGCGCACACCTCTGATGGCGAGCAGGAGTGCACTGAGGTGGCGATGGGATACACAGATCCTGGTAATTACTTACAGTTATTATATTTATTCCTTCATTGCATCACTATCGAGCGCTAAAACAATCTCTAGTTCTTGTGGGAGTTTTCGGGGTTTTGTTGAGATAATTATTGTAAGTGAGGATGTGGTAATTGGCTCTTGTTGGCGGTACTGTGTCGCATTGCTGTAGTCACCAGCAGACACAGGCGAGAGTGATGTACATCAGCCATATATGAACACGTGCGTTGCCGCTAACCAAAAGAGATGCGGAATTACCGCAGGAACCTGTGTCCATGCAAACCTATTGAAGATGTTGTGTTGTGTTGTGTTGTGTTGTGTTGTTGTGTTGTGTGAAGGTTGCGGCGGCTCGTCTGCAATGCAGTGCTGCTGAGAGAATAACCGAACGCATATCCTCCCTGCGGTAACAGATGCTACACTAACTTTTTGGCTGACAATTTCGGAATAGACGGACAATAGGCGAAAACTATAATGCTGTGATGTTCTGACACTTCGTAGACTAGAACGCTCCCATAATTGATAGCGCGCGGCGCTTTCTAGTGTGTCGCGTCGCGTCGCTGGCAGTGTAGATGGGGTGAGGCGACAGTCGGACTTCAAATCAGCAGTGCTTTTCAACACTTTTTTCCCCCGCTGTTGTATTAATGTATCTGAATTTGTGTATTTAATTTACATTGAAATGCGTTAATGTTTGGATTTAGTTGCGTTCATGCATGATTATGAATATATGTATCTGCAAATGCACCCATGCAGAATAGTCATTCTGCCCACTCAGCAAATCCTTAGTGATGCAGGACCTGTGTCTGAGAGTGTGGCACACCATTAACTACAGTAGGCTACATCTCCAAAGAATATAAAATGCTGAAAGGAAGATAAAATTGTTGTCACTCTATATTTCCTAGTAAGATGATATTTAAATGCTTGGTTTTATGATCACTGCTATGTTGTTTCAAAAGATATAATGCAATGCAATACAATGATAATTGAAAGATGAACAAATATGCGTTCCTTAAAAACCTGATGGATCATATTTGGACTCGCATTTTAACATGATTTAAAAAAAAAACAAAATCTGGATAACAAGTAAACCGAAGTTGCTTCAGTCAAGTATGTTCATCTTAAAGGGTCATGAAACCCCAGACTACTTTTTCTGAGATTTTAGCAGAGGTGTTTGTGTTGCACATCATAGAAGACAATGTTAGCATCCAATCATTTTAACTGTTGGAGAAAACTGGTTAATTTTACGCTTTTTTTTGCGCTATTTTCATCTTCCGGGTTTAAAATCTACATTGTGTTGACGTCACAATTTGTGATGTGGCAATGGACTAATAGTACATCGATGACGCGTTGGTGTCTATTAAATTATTCATGAGACTGATGCTTCGCTTAATTATTCACAACAGCATGTGTGGATTTGCGATGACAGACGTTTCAGAGTCTGTGAGATGACATCGCGCACAATAACTGAGAGAAACGTTCATGGATCGAAGAAGAGTGTTTGTTTTTGCTTTGTAATAAGAGTTTGGCACAAACGCGATTCATTTACTTAGTGAGTGTAACCGTTTTTACAGCTCTGTGACACAACCCGTCAAAAGGCTTATATAAATGCTGCAGAATAAGACTTAAAAGTTATCAGAGGTGCAACAGCGCCTTCATATATATGTTTTCGATGGAAATGGCTGTGCATTTATTTTTGTTTTTAACTCGATGGGAGCGAAATGAAACTGTCAGAACGCTAAGCTGTGTGTGTGTTGTCTCCCTTCTTCCCCCACCTCTGCTCCGTTGCGCACCACTCCCACTTTTTTAGCATTTTTTAAAGGGGTCATATGATGCTGCTAAAAAGAACATTATTTTGTGTATTTGGTGTAATGAAATGTGTTTATGCGGTTTAAGGTTAAAAAAACACATTATTTT